TGACAGCAGAGAGACAACAGTGACAGCAGAGAACAGTGGCAGCAGAGACACAACAATGACAGCAGAGAGACAACAGTGACAGCAGAGACACAACAATGACAGCAGAGAGACAACAATGACAGCAGAGAACAGTGGCAGCAGAGACACAACAGTGACAGCAGAGAGACAACAGGGACAGCAGAGAGACAACAGGGACAGCAGAGACACAACAGTGACAGCAGAGACACAACAATGACAGCAGAGAGACAACAGGGACAGCAGAGACACAACAGCGACAGCAGAGAGACAACAGGGACAGCAGAGACACAACAGTGACAGCACAGACACAACAGGGACAGCACAGACACAACAATGACAGCAGAGAGACAACAGTGACAGCAGAGACACAACAATGACAGCAATGTGTGATCCGTGATTAGCCCCTGGCTTGTGGGGAAGTGGGTAAAAACTATAAAAGACAATGGGGAAATTTTCAATAAGGACTGGGTATTAGAATTATTATGTTATATAAATACATATTATAAAATTATTGTGTTAGGTGTGATGATGGTAATAGTGTGGTTATGTAAGAGAATCCTCCCTCCCTTTTTTTTAAAGATGCATGCAGAAAACATAGGGTTGAGGGATGGCATAATCTGTAATTTATTTTGAAATGGTCAGCAGACAAAAAGATAGAAGGATGAATTGGATGGATGGATGAATAACTGCAGTAAATACAGCAAAATGTGGATAACTGTAGGAGCTGGGTTAGGGTCTGTGGGTATTAATGTACCATTTCTACTTTTCTGTATGGTCGCCAATTTCCTAAGATGTTGAAAAACTGTTACATGTTATGTTCCTGTGAAATCTAGCTATATATAGTAACAGACCAGGCTCACAGCACCCAGTCTTCCCCCTCCACATCCTCCCGAGGCAGGTGGCACCACTGTTGTCACCTGACCCTCAGCCCCCCTTACCTCAATCAGAGCCCCCTTCTCTCTGTCCTCGGACTGCTTGGCACTGTCCAGCTCATCGTGCATTTCCGAGAGCTGGTCCTGCAGATCCCGGATCTCTGTCTGGTGCTGTTCCCGTTCCATCTTCACCTGGAACAGCCTGGCAGGGAAGGAAGCCCATCAGAGAGGCTCCTCAGAGCCTCCAGACGGTCACGCAGAGTCACCAAAAGCCCCAAGAAGCCCACCCCTCCCATTCTCTGTCTTGCACTAAACAAGCAATCATCTGACCTGAAAAGGCACCTGGTGGGAACTCATGGCAACTGTCTAATCTTTCCAGTAAGAAGCTAAGTGAGAAGTATAACCAATGAGTGGACATACTACTGAGGTGATACAGTGACATCTTCTCCCTAAAAGTAGAACATAAGGCACTGGAATTTGGACACAGACAATGAGAAACTGACAAAAAAAGAGTACAGCTTTTCTGATAGTTTTCACTGAAGCCACCCCCCCATCTTGGATCCCCCTCTCCCACTGCCCAGTACTCTAGACCAGGAGAGTCAGCAAAGGAAAGTCAGCAAATTACGGCTGAGGGCAATCCAGCCCGCTGCCTGTTTTTGCAAATAAAGTTTTATTGGAACACAACCATGCTCATTTGTTTATGTACTGCTTATAGCTGTTTTCATGATATAACAGCAGAGTTGAATGGTTGTGACAGAGACCATATGGCCCACAAACCCTAAACTATTTATCTGTCCCCTTACAGAAAAAGTTTTCCAGGCTCTGTGCTAAACCAAACTTACAGCCCTTCTACTTTTTTGTTTTGTAAAATCTTTACTATACCCTAAATTCTCTCATTTTTTTTCCTTACCGACTTCTTTTCTGAAATTAGCCCCTCTCAATATTTTAAAAGCAAACATGCACTAACAATTTGCAAGGTCGTTTAAATGCTTTTTTTATGAGATGATACCCTATTTGTCTTGTATGTCCTTCTAGCTCTCACTCCTGTTCAGCTGCTCACTTAAAGCTCTGTTATGTCCACAGGTCTTCTCGCTGCTGTACATTTTCCGACCGTGGCTTTAGATCTTTCTGTTACAGATTTTAATACAACACAAAGGCAGAGCCACCTTGGACATCTGCATCTTTCTCTTTAAGCTCAGAAGAGGCATCAACACAGGTCACAGAGACCAGCACCACCCATAGTAAAACTGAGATGCCAGAAGATTCTGGAGGCCGTATGACATGTGCGTGTTGGAGGCTGTGTCCAGGATCCTTGAAATCTCAGTCTTTAGGCATCACCTCTCAGTGTTCTCTGCTTCTCACTTGCCTGCTGTGCGATCCACCTTAAGCACTGGACCCTTACAAGACACTCTTCGAAGTGTACCAGAACTGTGTTTTAATGATTAACCTCTCTGCTTACAGCGAACACGGTACCAGTTTCACAATTTTACAAGGATTAGAGGGCAGGAGGAAGGGTCAGCTGTCTCTACTGTAAATATTTGGAAGGCTGGGTAGTATTAAATGGACTATGAGGCTCTGGCTGCACACTACAAGAACCAGGAAGGGCACCGGGCTCCTGGCCCAGAACTTACTCCTCCAGGTTTTTACGGAGTTCCCCTTCACTTTCTTCTAATCGCTGCTGCAGCACAGAGTTCTCCTCCACCTTGTTTTCATGCTGGCTTCGGAGCTCTTCTAAGTTGGCTCTCATTCTCTCTCTCTCTTCTTTGATGTTCTGTTGATTCTAATACGAACAAGTGTGGTGTTAAAGTACCTCCACTGTACATTCATCTAATCCATAGAAGCCTACTTCTAAATCCTGACTTCTGGCAGCCTTATAACTCCATGCCTTCACATTTATGTTATGAAACAACTTAATCAAACTACACAATTAAGGCATAGCAGTCTGTAACTAAAAGGGATATTAAATATTTAATGAACATGTAATACTTCTAAAAGAAAAACACAAACACAGCTAACCCTCATTCTGTTATTTCTATTACTTAGTTCAGCTATTTCATATATATTTAGTTTTCTCCTGACCTATGTCCTGAATCAAACAGCTTTTCTTTTATTCTGTCAATGTAAATAGCCTCTACACACTTTCGCTACTTAAAAAAACAAAAGTTCTTTGGACAGCAGCAGAAAAATATGCAGGCATTTACTCAGTGTTCACTTCACCTGAGTACCTCAAGGTGCTTAAAACAGTCTTTATTAATCAAGAAGGAATGGAAAAATAATGTAAAGGACAAAATCAGGTACCTTAATTTCTAGTTGAAGCTGTCTCTGAAGTTCAGCCACTTCTGTGGTCAGCTTGTTTTTCTGTTCCAATAGATCTTTGACTTCAGATGAAGAATTAGAAGCCTTTAATTAATTGCAAAGAGATATCCTAATGTAAATATCCAGGATGCTTTATTTTACTTCTCTCCCACCCAAAATGTAATCAGAACGGTAACAGCTAAGATATAATATTAAACATCGTAAGACCCAATTCGAATACCACCCCCTACATAGAACCTTCCCTGACTTCCCAGGCAGAGTTAATCAAGCTGGCCCCACTGGGACTCTGCTGAGCTTTCTTCACAGCATTTATCACAGTCACAGCAATTATGTGATCAGATATCTCAATACTACTCCAATATGACTAAAACTTGCTCAAGTGGCATATGTGTGGGAAGTCCTTAATGTATTCTGTAGAACATTATAAGATATTACCATATTAAATTTAGGATAATAAAAATTCAGAAGGCTTCTCCAAAACAAATTCAAGATTCCAGTTCACAGATATCAAATGATAACAAAAAATCAGTGACAAAAAAACTATTTGTAAGTAAATAGGGAAAACTCGTTGCTGTCGAGTCAATTCCGACTCATAGCGACCCTACAGGACAGAGTAGAACTGCCCCATAGGGTTTCCAAGGAGCAGCTGGTGGATTCAAACTGCTGACCTTTTGGTTAGCGGCCTACCTCTTAACCACTGTGCCACCAGGGCTCCAGATAGGGAAAAGACATCCATTTTTCTATTTTAATGACGGAACATCTCAGTTCTGCTTCAATGTTGCTTAGGAGTAGTTTGAGAATTACTACATTAGGAGATCATGGACTTTTGGAGGGTAGGGACCATGTTTTATGCATCTCTGTATTTACAGAAACCAACACTTTTCCTGCATTTACTAAAATCTCATTAAATGATTGTTGTATTCCAGTTCCAGCCATGATGGAGTAGCTGATACCAGATTTACCCCCCCAATAAAAAGTATTACCAGATTTACCTTCCCATTAAAAAATATGAAAGCTAGACAAAATAATTGTTCCAGGCATTGAAAAATAACCAGCATGGAGCTATAATCCTTAAAAAAGAAAGCACATAAGGTAGCCTTACATTCACCCTGGCTTCTCTCTAAGGGCATTTTCTAAAACCACAGCACAGTAAAATTTAAAAAGCCCAAATAGAGAGTGGCAGCTCCCAGATGGAGGAAACAGAGATTGGAGTTTAAAGATGTTAAGGAAACAGGGGTTTTAGGGTCAGAGTATTGGAGAGAAAAGAATCCAAGAGAAGCAGCTCCAAAAATCTGCATAAAATCCTCCTTAGATTCTTGGATGATTCCTAAGCTTTTTATGAGCAGTGCAAGATTCTGGGAGGTCTAGCGGAGTAGAGCCATTAGGAGGCCAAGAGCCCAGCAGAGATTTCAGGGGTCACACAACGCTGGAGAAACACCAGAGTTTTAACTCATTCAAAGAAGAGAAACCTTGGCGAACATTCTGGCATTCAGCTGAGACCCAAGAAAGGATAGGGCTCATAACCTATGAATAAAGGCAAAAACTTAACTAGATGTGCCTAACAATGCTCCAAACAAGCATACAGGATCAAGGTGAACTGCAAGTAATTTAACTGACTGTCAGAACAAAATTCAACATTCTTCAGAGGGAGAGAATACAATCCAGAACCTCTGTAACTTCTCACCCACATGGCTAGCATACAATTAAAAAAAAAAAATACCAAACAGGAAAAGAAGCTATAAAAGCGACCAATAATTAAGAGATAAAACAGGCAACAGAAGCAGAGAGGATCTAGATATTGTAGTTAGTAGTGAAGAACTTCAAAATAACTATAAATAATGTTTTTTTGAAATAGAGGAAATTATGGACAAAATGAACGAAAAGATAAAGTATTTCAACAAAGAATTAGATTCTATGAAAATATAATCAAATGGACATTGTAGAACTGCAAAACACAGTATCTGAAATAAAGAACTCATTGGATGGATTCAAAAGAAGACTTACATAGCCAGACATGTGATAAATGAATTTGAAGACAGCTGGATAGAAAATATTCAGAATATCTGATGTACAGAGGAAAAAAATACACACATATACACAAAAAGAATGGTGCATAAGAGATATGAGGGGCACTATCAAAGGGCATAAAATTCATGAATTGGAATCTGAAACGAGTAGGAAGAGAGAGAATGTGAAAGAAACAATACTCAAAAAAATAATAGTTAGGAATTTTACGAATCTGATGAAAGTCATCACCCTATGAATTCCAGAACTCAATGAATCCCAAATGGGATAAATCAAAGGAAACTGCATTTAGGTGCATTCTAGTTAAACTTCTAAAATCCAAGATAAAGATACAATATTAAAAGCAGCCAGAGAGAAAAGACACATCACCATTAAAGGACAACGTTAAGAATAATGGTTGGTTTCACAAGGGAGCCCACGGGACCAGGAGAAAAAGAAATCACATCTTTAAAGTTATAAAACAAACAAACAAAAAAAACTCAGCAAACTAAAGTTCTTAAAAAATGACGGTGAATTAAAGCCAGTCTCAGCAAACAACATCTGAGAGAATTCACTGCCAGAAGAAATGCACTACAAGATACAATAGGTACAGTTCTTCATGCTGAAGGACAACAAACCTAGATGGAAGTACAGAACAGCACTGAAAATGGAATCAATCTAAATGAAAGATGTATACGACCTCTATAACAAAAACTACAAAACACTGCTGGGAGAAATTGGAGATGTAAATAAATGGGGAGATAGTCCATGTTCATGAACAAGAATACTCAATATTGTTAAGATGTCACTTTCCCCAAATTTATCTATACATTCAGTACAATCCCAATCAAAATTTCAGGAGGCTGTGAGTGTGTGTGTAAACTGACAAACCTATTTTAAAGTTTTATGGAAAGGCAAAATACCCACAACAGCCGTGACAATCTTGAAGAAGAACAAAGTTGGAGGACATACATTACCAGATTTGAAGGCTCGTGATAAAACAGCGGTCACTAAAACTGCATGATATTGGCACAAGGAGAGACCAGAAGACCAAGGGACGGAACAAAGGGTCAAGTGTTGGACAGGATGTAAAACCGGAAGGTGTGACCATTGCTGGTGGGAGTGCAAACTGTTTCAGCCACTTCGTAAAATCATTTGGCATATTTAAGAGCTAAACACATGCCTACTTTATGACCCAGCAATTCTATTCGTAGTTATTCCCAGGAGAAATGATGTGTTTACCAAAAACAAACAAACAAAAAACATGTATAAGCATGTTCATAGCTGTTTTATTCATAACTGGAAATGTCTAGCAAGAGTACAGTGGATAAACAAACTATGGTATAGTCATACACTGGAAAATTACATGCCAATAAACAAGAACAAGCTACTGATATACACAACATGAAGGAATCTTGCTGACATATGTTGAGAGAATGAAGCTGGACATACAAAACAACATACTGTAAGGTTTCATTTATATAAAATTCAGGAAAGGCAAAACTAATCTATGTGCTAGAAGTCAGATTATGATTGCCTCCAGAAGGAGGGGGCATAATTGAATGGGAAGTGGCCCAAGGGAACCTTCTGAGGTGACAGGAGGGTTCTGTATCTTGATTTGGGTGATAATTTCATGGATATATACCTATGCAAAAATTACATGAACTATACAATTAAAATATGTGCAATTCACTTTATGTAAGTTATACCTCAATAAAACAATGTAATAAATAAATGTTTGTGGAAGGCTTATCTGTTGTATAAAGTTATACCCAAAACCCATGTCTTGGTGTTTCCAAGGCCCTCTGTACATACATCTGCTACAGAACTTTCAGTACACTAGGAATCACTGCGGCATAACTGCCAGTGAGATTTTTATCCCTCACATACTGCATGTCTGCACACAGCAAGTAATAAATAAATGTATGTTAGCTAAATTGGCTTTCTTCTTTTTGATGGTATATTTCTTCTGTAAGGAAGAGAGACTCCAAAAGGACTGACTAAAGAGAGTTTATTATAAAATAGGTCTGATCTGAGTGGGAATCTTAGTGGAGCTCCCTTTTATTTTTCTCCCATGAAAACAGTAACAGGATGATGCTTTTAAAAAGATCTGGCTAAAATCCACAGTCAAGTGGTTAGAAAACTGCAAATAGCTGAAGGAAGAGATTAAAGCAGGAATGCAGCTCGAGGGGCGGCCTCTCAGCTCGCGTGCTCCTGAATCTGGCGTGAGCGTGCAGGATGGACTCGGAATGAGGTACTTCCCACCTACTCCCTTGAGGGGGACCAGAACCCACTAATCAAGAAAAGCACAGAACTTCCCCATTCTCTCAGGAAAAATGAGAGAGAATTTAGAAGCTGCAATCCAACCCAACAAGGGAAACTGTACCTTGTTCTTTCCCAAACGAAAACTCTACCTGCTTTGCTGTTTTCACTATTGTCTCAGTCCATCCAGGAGAGAGAGCTCATTCCCGCCTAGAAAATCACTTAACTGACATCAAAAAGATAACACTCCAAAACCTTTGCCAGCAAATCATCAGATTCAAGGACTCAGAAGGGGAGGAGGGGCTAGAAAAATATAGGCAACCAAGCAGTCACAGCACTGTGAGCGGAGCCAGCAGTCTACGAGCCTTCGTTCATCCACTCATCATGTCTTGCTTGATTTGGCAGCAGCTTCTTAACTGGTCTCCTTCCACTAAGGGAACGAGTTTTTATGAAAACAACACTATTCATTCCTGCTTAAAATCCATCAATGACAGCCCATTGCCTTCAGCCTGAAATAGAAACTTCTCGTGTGACTCACAAGGTCCCTCCCACCTGGCTCTTCCTTCCTACATCCTACTTCTATGCTCCAGCTGCACTAAACCACCCCAGTTCCCTGTACGTGGCCAACACATGCCTCTTTCTATTGGCTCCTGCCATTCCCTCTACCTAGAACACCCTGCCTTCCCTTCTCCTCCCAGAGAACTCTATGATCCTCTGAGACACCATCAGTGTCCTCGTCTCTGAAGAAACCAGCCTGGATGCTCCTAGTCTGGGATGCACAGTAACAGTCTCAACATTAAGCCCAAAGGATACAGTCTCCCTAAAACCACGCAGGAAGGTCAACAGCAAGAACCACTGTGACAATTTGGATTTGAGAGTCTTATCCAAAAATACTGAACTACTTTCAAGAATTACACAGACTTCCTGAAAGCTGCCTATAAGTGAGGTGGATGACTTAAAGATTTCCCAGTGGGAGGCATTAAAATAAGTATATACAGCACTGGACCACTGAAAGCTGAGTAGCAGTCATGGGTTAGCTGAGTGCTGGGGGAATACCGAGCACGAGAGAAAAGAGGGTAGGTGATGATTACAAATATCCTCTGTATCCATGTGGCCAAAGTTTAAAAAAGAAGCTATAGACCAACTTCCTGTTATTTGCCCCTGGGTATCTTCTTTCCTTTCCTGCAGAATCTGCCAGGGAGGGAAAGCAGAAGACACACTAGCAAGGAATGGGTCCCAACACAAGGTGGTCCAGGGCTGAGGGCCAAGTTTTTAGTTGTCTTCTCTTAAATGGGGCTTCCTTTCAGGGCACAAAGTGTGCCTAGCACATAGTCAGTGTTCATCAAATATGAGCTGACTCCTTTTTAACAAAAAAAAAATCCCCAAGTCACAACTCGAATTCAGTGCAATAAACTACACAGGCAGTTTTTGTACAAGAATTCGGCACCACCCCACTCTTTCCTTTCCCCTGTATACCAAAGCTGGTCATCCTCACTAGACTCTGTTCCTTATGCTCCTTCCCACCTGACATTTAAGAGCTGGGGTCCAAGCCCACTCACGCTTACCTTCTGAATTTGCCTGTGACGGTGCTAGGTTCTCCACCCATTACTTCATTCATGTTTTTATGCTTATTTTCCTTTCTGAACTTCACTACCTATGTATTTCAGCCTGTTATATTTTCTGTGTTTTATACACACACACACACACACATATATACATATATATATTCGTGTATATGTGTATGTGTGTGTGTATATATATATACACACATTAAAGGCTGGGTGAAAATTAATGTTTAAAATACAGTCTCTACCTTAGTAACTGCTGACTACTTAGGAAGCTTCCCATTTACGGCTCTAAACAAATGCAGACTAAGAAACAGCAATTTGTTTACCACATTCCACCTTCCACGCTCTCTGCAAAATACGAAACTTTAATTTACTTGGTGGCTTCCTTGTGCGCTCCCTGCTGCCCGGGACTTTAGAGTCTGGATTTTCTCAAAGACCAGGTTGACTTTCCTTTTGGTCAAATCATCGTTATCAGTGCTTCTGGAAAAGAGACGGTGAAGAAAAACAGTGAGGCCGCACCCCTGGTCTCGGACGGGGGAGACTGCTCTACGTGCCAGGACGCACACGTGACAAGTCTTTAAGAAGACGAATCGCAAGAGGCTTGAATCAGTGAAGGCTGCACACAAAACCGGTATGCAAAAAGGATGGTAGAATATTTTTCTTCAAATAAGTTCTATGTTATCACTCAATCTGGGAGAGGGATTCCCATCTCCAAACACTCGAAAGAGATAGAAGCACATTTTAAACCAGTGTGGAGGAAACAGTCAGTGCAACTTCCAGAAAAATCCATGGTTGTTTTATTCCAACAACTCATATTCACTCCAACTAGAAAGTTCTTGCTCTCTCTCTCTCTATCTCTCTCACTTTCTCTCTCTCCATCATACACACACACACACGCACACACACACACACAGAGTTGACTGTAAATCTTACACTAAGAATGATCCGACCCTACCTTGTTTAGCTGACGTTTAAAAAAAAAAAAAAAATCCCCCAAGCCAAGATTGTCAACACAGCAGCCCTTTGTCTGCTTTCATGAGTAACAATCAGATAAAGTTTCATTAACTTCTCCCGCACCTTCTACCACACCAACTTGGCAATGAGAAGAAAAAGATGTAAAATAAGTTTCCTCACACAGGAGCCTCATGCTAAAGTCTGCCTCACCTGGACCTCAACAAATAATGGGCCAGAAAATAAAGGAATTTAAAGAAAGAATTTTAAAAACCTGAACTTTTCCTATCTTAATCTCAACGTGGTAAAATCCCTCGCAGGGGGATAGTAATAACTAGTTGTTGCCACAAGAACTTCTTTCGCTTCTTCCTTCTCTCTCTTCCTCCTTTTCTTTCCATCCTTCCTTCTCTCTCTCTTTCTTTTCTTGCAACAGGGCTCCCATCTTAGATTTTGAACCTGGACATTCTGTCAGCTCTGTAATATGACCCAACACAAAAATAGAAAGTGCTTCGATACCGTGAGGATTTGCCAAGTGGCTCGCAGTCATGTCAGGCTGCAAAGTTGTTGTTTTTTTTCCTTCTTAATCATATCTGATGCGAGAACTGAAACAGAAACTTTAAACTCCCTGCCTAGCGTTCCAGGGCAGTTAGCATCCCGGGAGTGAAAACCAGATGACTCAAATTCAGCCTCCAAGAGATTTCTGGAAAGCACAGCATTTAAACGACTCAAACATGCTTCAACGATGATGACAGCAGGGCTCCTGGCCAGTGTTAACTTAGGGGAGGGAGGGTGTGTTTTTATTGGTAACTTCTAAGAAGGGAAGATTGATTACTCCTGTGTGCATGGGAGAAATCAAGGTGATGGCAGCTTTGATTCAAAGTTGAAGAGCAGACACTCCAGCATTCCTCCTATCTTTGCATTTGTCTTTGAAACAATAAAAACCCATCAAAAACCTGTTGCCATCAGGTCATTTTCGACTTATAGCGACCCTACAGGACAGAGTAGAACTGCTCCATAGGGTTTCCAAGGAGCGGCTGGTGGATTTGAACTACCAACCTTTTGGTTAGCAGCTGAGCTTTTAACCACTGCGCCACCAGGGCAGTAAAAGGTCATTTTAATAATATATTCATTTTTAATTTTTAAAGTATCTCTCCTACACTCCCGTCCCCACTCCCCCTCCCGGGCCTTAAATGGTGTTATGGAAACTCCATCTGTTGACACTTATCCCCCAAAGGCTCACACAGGACAGGAGGGAGTGGGCAAAATGTAAGGACTCAGAGGAGGAGATAAAGCCCACCACCAGGAATTACAATACTGTGCTGCTTTAAGGGAAACTACTGACCCTTCTTTGAGGTAATTGTAAAGTATCTGCTTGGCAGTCTCCTCGTTGGTTTGTTGACTGAGCTCTTGCTGGCCTTTTAACAGGTCCGGTGTGGCCTGGAACACAACATCCGTTATTAGATCACAGGAGTACCTTTCCAGGAAGAAGGCAAAACCCCGAAGCAGAGGTTCCCACACACGCTCCTGCTTTCCAGAAATGATTCCTCCTGGAGGGATCCTAAGACAGCCAGCTCCACCCCTGATCAGCTGCGTGGCCCTGGGCCACTGGCTGAGCTCCCCTCACCTCACTTTCCTCACCTGAGAATTGAGGAGAACAGCTCCGGTCTTCACAGGGTCGGTGTGAGCCTGTAAGAAGCGGCAGGCCAGGCCTGGCACTTACAAAATTACCGTCATTTTACCATGGCTGTTATTGTTGCTACCAGTACATTAAATGTGCCAGTTAAATGCCATCGCTTCAGGATTAACCCAATTTCTCAGCCCAGAAATTAACCCAGTCGCTCAATTTCATGAGGAAATTCTGTATATCCACGCAAACTGAGCATTGAACCTCCGTGTGGAAACAAATTCTTCGTACTTTGCAGTTTCACACGTATTCAGATGGAAAAACCAGGCCTCTCTATAGTGTCTGACGAGTTACTTTACAGAGAAGATGACAAAGGAAATCTAGCTGTATTTGGGTTAATCTAGGAAACCATAAAGGAGCCCTGGTGGCACAGTGGTGAAGTGCTCGGCTGCTAACCGAAAGGCCAGTGGTTTGAACTCACCATTGGCTCCGTGGGAAAAGACCTGGCGATCTGCTCCCATCAAGACTGCAGCCTAGGAAACCCTATGGGGTAGTTCTACTCTGTCACATAGGGTCTCGTTATGAGTCGGAATCGACTCGATGCCACAATAACAAGGAAACCATGCAACTGTCAGCAGGACGTAATCTATAAAGAAAACCCTAGAAAATCAGTTGTGCCATTACTGATTAAAAATCAAGGACATGTATTCCTACAGCCTCCTGCAGCATGAGTATATCATTTAAATCATTTCAGAGGGGGAAAAAAAATGCCAGTAGTATTACCTGAGGATGTGAGGTGGATGGGAATGTCGTCACTGATATTCTCTTGGCCCCAGAATCAGGCGAAGTCGCTACCCCCCGATTCTGCAACATCAGTGTTGCAGTGGTTGTTTTGACTTCCTCCTCCTTCTTCTTCTTCTGTGCTGGGAGGGAGGACCCACCCATCAAGGCCCTCCTCTGACTGCCTTTGTCTTGTTGAACGTCCTTGTCTTTGTTCTGCTGGGGGGGCCTGGGGGCAACACTCTGAGCGCCCTGAGTCACCCCCTGCAGCTTCGCAAAGGTTCGGCCCACACTCTGCTTCCCCCGGTGCTCGTGAGCGGGCGGTTTCTGCGGGCACACCTGGGATGGTCGCAGGAGGTGTTCGCTTGACTTACCCAGGTTGCGACTAAACTCACTCAGGTACTCTGAGTTCCCCTGCAGACCAAATGGAAAGGCACTATCCACACTTCTGGACCTCTTCCTATCATCTGGATGGATTCTGTTTCGCTTCCCAGACCTTCCACTTCTCGGAAGCCCGGGTTTTTGATCAAATTTTTCAATTAACTGATCCACACCGGGAATGGATCCCGTGTCAATATCCCTCCCGGTTCCTGGCAAGAAGGGGATATACCTTCTATTTTCATGACGATTCACATTGTCAGCATGGATGGCACCTTCCTGATCGTCAAGTAAAAATCTGTACAGGGAGTTGGCCGAAGTGGGGGTTGTCGAGGAGGAGGAGGACCTCCGTGACCGACACCCATCCAGCACCGGGCCAGCTGAATCTTGTCGCCGGAAGGGAAGAACGTCTGGCCTGGTTTTCTTGGATTCAGGGCGGGTGTGTGGGCCGTGGGCGGTAGGCAGCCTCCCACCAGCGGAAAGCGTCCCCTCGGCCGCCCCCTCCTTGGTGCAGCTCTGAACATCTACACACACTGACGTCTGCTTCTTGGGGTCATCTGTGACGAGGGAGCTGCATAAACGAATGGCTGTCACAGTGGGTTTTGCTGGGTCTTCCAGGGCAGGGCTAGTGGGTGGCTGGGAATTGCTGGGTTCGGGAAAGCAAGTCCAAGGCTTCTTATCGTTGGGATCCTCTTCTGTTAATGTTTTTAGCCAATTACCCGCGGGAGGTGGGTGGTTTTGTAAGTTCAACTCATTCTTCTCAGGGTCGTAAGGCTGCAAAAGCCCTGGGTGTCTCTCCAAGTTGAGCACGGGAGGCGGCTTCACTGGCCTGTCTTTCTGCTCCACAACTCCGTTCCTGCCCTCATACAGAGTGGCTTGTTTCAAGTTCCTAACTGGACCGGGCGGGGCGTACGGGTTTTCTGGGAGCTGCAATTCCTCCGCATCGTTCTCCTCCAGCACAGACCGGTTGCTGGAATGCAGAGGCAGGTTATTTACCGCTGGAGACGGAAATGATGGTCCGTTTTCAGAAAAAGATGCGCCTGCCAGACACCGCTCCGCGTTATTCAGGACTATGTAGGGGTGGCCATCAATTCCCTGCACCCTAATACTGACGCCATAGGAGCCTGCCTTAGAGTGCTGGGAGTTCCTTGATCTTTTGGCTTCTTCGCTTGCAAGTCTCAGATGGACGCCATATTCCTGCTGCACATGTTGATATTCACCCAAATACAGCTCCATGGCTCACTGCTTCAGCTAACAGGAAAAGATGGGATAGAAAGAGGCTATTAAGTTAGAATCACATCAGTTTAAATGAAGATTATAACAAGTATGAGGGGAAACGTCCACGAAAAAAAAACACTTCAAAAAACATCAAGGACGCTGCAGAACCAAAGGCTGGATGGCACCTTCCCGACTTGTACAAACAGGCCTTTCTGGACGCCCCTGAGCCCACGGGACCACAGTCTTTGCCATCAGAGGGCTTGAACCCTGACCTTATGGTAGGTGGCCAGTGTAACGACCTGATGCCTTTGGCATAACTTCATTATTCTGTTTCTAGCATGCCTCTGTGAGAGGACAGCGGTGTTTCCACGGTAGAATTCTCACCTTCCATGCCAGAGATCCACATCTGCTTCCCAGCCACCACTTGTCTGCTTTTTTTTTCTTAGTTGGTTTCCTCACACTTTATGCTATTTATTTTTAACCAGTAGGATATTTCAGTTACTAGCATTTGGGAACCAGGTACTTTTCCATGAAAATAATTAAGAGTTGAGGAATTCCAATGCTCACCATTTTTCTCTCTTCTTACACTTTTAATGTTCTCGTTAAAACAACACATTTAGTCTTTTTTTTTTTTTTTTTACACACAATCCTGCTTTAGAATCTTTAACACTTTTTTATTTGGATATTAATGTTTAAAATATTTGTACTTTAGTGTTTGTTAGTTAGACGGTCAGTGAAAGGAAATGATCAAAAATAATTTTCAATCTTTTTTTCTTACCAAAGAAGTTCAGGTAGTCTATTGACCTGAAAAATGTGGTAAAACACTGAAGACGCAGGACTCTTTATTTGGTGATGGGCCATGATGCCAAGAATCACTGCCTTCACCATTTGGCTGTGGGCCGTCCTGGTCACAGGCCCGCACAGAGATCACCAGGCAGGACGCCCACCCTAGTGGCCACGCTCTGAGGTGTCCTCGCCAGAAATTCATTTCTACCACTACGAGAAAACAACGACAAAGACCCAAAAAGAACACCACCAACCGGTCACAAATAACAGCTGTCTCAATTCTTTTGCTATTAGACGCCTTCTCAAGTTTTCTTTCTATTGTGGGGCCATTCGTGTAGCATATTTTCCAAGAAACTCACCTATGGGATCCACATTTTCAAATGTATTTGCACAGAGTTTTGCAAAGCATAAGTCATTTCATTTCCTCAGTATCTGTTACTAATTCTCATAACCTAGTTTGGTTTGTTTGTGCTTTCTCCTTCCTTTTCTTGATTCCTAGCTAGTACAATATGTGTGTATGCATGTACATATATATTTAGTTTTTAAACTGTTGTTCTCCTAATGACCCAGCTCTTAGATTTAGATTTGTCCTTTTTTTTTTTTATTTTCTAATTTATTGATTTCTACTTTGACTTTCTATTTCCTTTTACTTTCTTCCATTTTATTTTGTTGTTCTGCATCTAATTTCTTGACTTGGATGCTTTGTTTATTTTCATTCCTTAATTATATCCCATAAATCGTGATATATAACTGTGTCAGTTAGGAATTATATTGTTTCCTACCAACAAAGAGACCCAAAATAGCAGCTTAGATGAGTTAGGATTTTTTTCCCCTCAGAGGTTGTAAGTGCAGGGCTGCGTGACCCCATGAGACTTAAAAGGAACCCCTCTTTTATCTGTCCACTTGTCCATCTTTAGCATGTACTAGATACCTTAAGGGAGCCCTGGTGGTGCGGTGGTTGAGAGCGCAGCTGCTAACTCAACGGCAACGGGTTTCCTTTTTTGTTGTTGTTGCTTTTTCTCTGCTTTAGATACCGAATAATCACAAGATGGCTGCTCCAGCAACACATACGCATAAGGCTCAGATCAGAAGCCGAGCCAACATTCTTTTTAAAGAGCTTTCCTGGGGCCCCATCCACCAATAATCTCTTATATCATCTTGGTCAGAACTTAATCATATGGCCACCCCTACTGGCAAAGGAGGCTGGGAAAATGTTTTTTAGCTGAACATTGCCACTCTTAACAAAAATCAACATTAGTAAGAAAAAAGAGAACAGACATTGTGAAGGCAGCCAACATTTTCTATCCCAGCAATGTTTCTATTATTTCCTAGATAGTTTCGACTTTTGATTTGATTTCTTCTTTGACCCAAGAGTTGTTCTTGATAAAGTTTTTTTCATATCAAGTATTTTGGGTTTTTTGTTTTGTTTTGTTTTGATTTGGAGGGTCTTTGTCTCTATATGCTGTTAATTTCTAGTTTTATTGTAATAGGTCAGAAAAGGAAGTCTCTACTACTTCATCTTTTACAAATTTATTGAGGTTTCCTTTGTGGGCAAATATAAGGACAATTTTTGTCCATGTATTGTGGCTGCTGGCTGTAGTCTCCATTTTAGGGGATGGCATTCAAAATAACATTCATACGACCTTACCAACTACTTATAGCACGTTCTTACTTATTTTGTCTTTCCCATTTGTTTTGGGGATTCCCGGGTACATCAGTCTCCCACTATTAGCATGAGGTTGTCACTTTGTCTTGGTGGTTATTTTTTCAGCTGTAAGATATCATCAAGGAGCCCTGGTGGTACAGTGGTTGAAGTGCCTGGCTGTTAACCAAAAAGTCAGCGGTTGGAACACACCAGCCACTCCGCAGGAGAAAGATGTGGCAGTTGACTTCCATAAAGATCACAGCCTAGGAACCCATATAGGGCAGTTCTACTCTGTCCTATAGGGTCGCTATGAGTCAGAACTGACTTTTGGTTTAAAATATCATCATCCCCCCTTTTACTGGTGAGACCCAACTCGGAGAGGTACAGATTCATCATTATCTCACCAATTCCAATTATTTCATTATGTCTACTTTCATTTTCATCAGAATTATACTAACATTTTAAAATCATTTAATTTTTAATTACAGGAACATAAGACATAATAAAAACCTGTACTCTTGAGCTCCACACCTTCGCAGATCCCATCACAGTCCCCAAAGGCAGCCACTTGCAAATTTTAGCTGTTTCTTCTAGTACTTACTCCATGTTGCTAAATCACATGGCAGACTGCAACTTCTTGATTTATCAGTTTTACACAGCTATTAACTTCCTGTTATGGTAAATGATACACTGTGTATACATCCTATTTCTCATTTCACTAACCTGTCGATAGTAACATCTAGAGCCAATAGTTTGTATCATTAAGACGATATAAGTATTGTTCACCAAAGAGCCAGGCTGTATACTATGGTGATCTTTCCTTTCTTACATAACGTTTAGCTTTTTTAGAGCTAATAATTGACTACTTTTTTGGACTTTTCTAGTTTTCTATATAAACCAAACCCAAACCCATCACCGTGGAGTCAAATTACAACTCATAGTGACTCTACAGGACAGAGTAGAATTTCCCCCATTAGGTTTCCAAGTCGACTGTGTGTATCATAACAAATTATGGATAACACTGTGAAAAGAATGGGAATTCCAGAACACTTAACTGTGCTCATGCAGAACCTGTACATAGACCAAGAGACAGTCGTTTGAACAGAACTAGGAAATACTGAGTGGTTTAAAATCAGGAAAGGTGTGCGTCAGAGTTATGTTCTTTCACCATACTTATTCAATCTGTATGCTGAGAAAACAATCCGAGAAACTGGACTCTATGAAGAAAAACGGGGCAGCACTTACTGATGAAGATCAAAGACTACAGCCTACAGTATGGATTACACCTCAACATAAAGAAAACAGAAATCCTCACAACCGGACCAATAAGCAACATCATGATAAACAGAGAAAAGACTGAAGTTGTCAAGGATTTCATTTTACTCAGACCTACAACCAATGCCCATGGAAGCAGCAGTCAAGAAATCAAATGACGTATTACACTGGACAAATCTGCTGCAAAAGATCTCTTTAAAGTGTTAAAAAGCAAAGATATCACTCTGAGGACTAAGGTACACCTGACCAAAGTCATGGTATTTTCAAACACCTCGTATACATGCAAAAGCTGGACAATGAATAAGGAAGACCAAAGAAGAACTGATGCCTTTGAATTATGATGTTGGCGAAGAATACTGAATATACCATGGACTGCCAGAAGAACGAACAAATCTGTCCCGGAAAAAGTACATCTTATCTGGAGGGATTAGGCCCTGAAGAAGGACATCATGCTTAGTAAAGTAGAGGGTCATCAAAAAAGAAGAAGACCCTCAACGAGATGGATTGATACAGTGGCTGCAACAAGTTCAAACATAGTAACGATTGTGAGAATGGCACACGACCGAGCAGTGTTTCACTCTGTTGTACACAGGGTCATTATGAGTTGGAACCAACCGGATGTCACCTAACAAACAACAATTTTTACAGAAGCAGACTGCCACAACTTTCTCACGCAGAGCAGCTGGTTAGTTGGAACAACCAACCTTTTAGTTAGCAGCCATGTGCTTAACCACTGAGCCAGCGGGGCTCTTCACCAGTATTAATTTTCAAATGATCAAAATATCAAATAAATTGGCAGTCTTCTCCCTGGTAACCTCACTCCTGCAGCCCTTCATCCTCCTGCCCTGTTTTAGGGTCTAAGGCTCTCTTTCTTTGGCTGCTATCTTGTTTTCTGAACCCCATGTCTTCACCTTTCTTAGTTTACCTAATTGGTCCAGCACACCTCAAGTGGCTTTCTAATAAAAGATCTAAGTGAGTAAAATTTTGGAGTCCTTGTATTTTGGAAAATGTCTCTATTCTATGCTTACTTTTGATTGATAGTCTAGCTGGATATAAAATCTAGGTTAGAAATAATTTTTCCTCCGATTTTTGAAACAAGTATTGCTCTACTATCTTCTAGCTTTTAGGGATGCTGTTAAGAATTCTGGTGCTATTATGATATCCTTTCTTTTGTGTGTGACCTGTTTGCTTTTCTCAGAAAAGTGCTGGGACCTTTATTTTATCCCTGATCTTCTGACCTTTCACAATGACACACCCGGGTGTGGGTATTTCAAAATAAACATCATGAGCACTTTGCATACTCTTCCAATGCAGAAATTTATGTCTTTTGTTCTTGAAACGTTCTTGTATTATTACTGCGGTAATGCTCTTCTATTCTTTTTCTGTTCCTGTTTTCTGAATCTCCTACGTTGGTAAGGCTGAATCTTCTCGACTGATTTTCAAGTTTTCTTATTTCTTTACTCTTCTATTTTTC